TAATCCCAAAGTTGTTAGGAGACATGTCACCTATATCAATAGTTCAGACCTAAAGTAAATTTGCACAAAAACCAGAGTCAATGAAAACACTAATTTTCAAAATTTTATTTGTGTTGCATGTCTTTTTTTTTCTTTGATAAATCTAAGTGAGTAAATCTTAAATGCTATTATTTTTAGACCTGTCTTCTTTTTTTTTCCCAGGGCCAGTTTGCAGAATTCTGAAGTGCGAGGATGCAACTACTGTAGATGTGAAAAAAAGGAGGCGATTGAATACTTTCTTAATAACCTTTGTGAAAAGTATGAGGGAAAAAGGCATTCGTACTTCTGTTACTATGATTCATGGTGAAACTATTGACGATTCTCATTGATACACTCTTGCATGGACCCTATCAATTTGAGGATATTCATAATCTGTAAAAACGTTAAATATGTGATAAAATGATGGAACATTCTTACTTTCCAAGGAGCTGGAGAAATTGAATTGTATAGTTATTAAGGGACATTAAGAAATTTTGATTTCATTTACCACTATTTGTATTTGCAATTGACAATATTGCTTTCTCTACAAAATAAATAAAATGATTGATGATTTAAAATGAAATAACCGTTTTGTTTAATCATTGCAGTGAAAATATTTTGTACTATACATACAATTGAAAAGTTTTATTTTCAGACAAGGAGTAATTTGTTGAAATGTACACCTAGCTCATGGTCATCGACTCAGCCAATGTTGAAACCAGAGTTAGAAGCCAAGTCAGAAATGTGTGGCCTTAATATTTGTTCTCTCTGGGCCATGTCAGCTAAACCATACAGGCTCCCATATGTGCAAACCAATATGCCATCCATATATATGGGCCTCATATGGGACACCTATATACCACCCATGTGCAGTTGCAATGGGTACCATGTTTGTCCTACATGGGGCTTTGGTGGAGAATACGAGGGGCCCCATATGGGCAGACCCATATTACATCCATATGGGCCAGAAAATAATGGGCCCCATATATCACCCATGTGCAATTGCATATGGGTACCATGTGAGAATCCCGTATGTGGGTACCATGTGAGAATCCCATATGCCACCCATGTACAAATGCATAAGGGTACCATGTTGGCCCCATATGGGTTCTCTGAAAGATGTGGGCCCCACATGGGGCTTGGGTGCAGAATCCGGAGGGGGCCTTAAGGGCTAGTCTATATCATACCCATTGGTTGGGAAATATAGGTTCCATATGGGCCCCAAATGGGTTATACCTGGGCTATGGTTTAAACCACATGGGCCCCACATGGGGCTTGGGTGCAGAATCTGGAGGTTTCCTCAAGGATAGCCCATATGTTACCCATATGGGTTGGGAAAATATAGGTCCCATATGGGAAACCCATATACCACCCATGTAAAAATGCATGTGGGTTCCATATGGGCCCCAAATGGTTTATATCTGGGCTATGGGCTAAATCAGATGGGCCCCACATGGATCTTGGGTGCAGAATCCGGAGGTTTCCTCAAGGATAGCCCATATGTTAACCATATGGGTCGGGAAAATATAGGTCCCATATCGGAAACCCATATACCACCCATGTAAAAATGCATGTGGGTTCCATATGGGCCCCAGATGGGTTATATCTGGGCTATGGGCTAAATCAGATGGGCCCCACATGGATCTTGGGTGCAGAATCCGGAGGTTTCCTCAAGGATAGCACATATGGTACCCATATGGGTCAGAAAATATAGGTCCCATATGGGAAACCTATATGCCACCCACATACAAATTAATGTGGGTTCCATGTGGGCCCCAAATGGGTTATACCTGGGCTATGTGGGCTAAATCATATGGGTCCCACATGGAACGTGGGTGCAGAATCCGGAGGTTTCCTCAAGGATTGCACATATGGTACCCATATAGATCTGCATATGGGCACCATATGGGTCCCTTATGGGCTTGTTACCTGGGCATAACAAAACTGGCGACGAGTGGTAGCAACTTTTGAGTCTGAAGAAGCTACTTTACGGACGGGAGCTTGGATTTTGGTCACTGAGTGGATTCGTTTTTCGTTTTCCATGAATCATTGGATGGTGTGTTGAAAGCCATTTTGGAATTTTGGAACTGGCGGTATTGAGCATTTACTTTTTCGCCTTCATTAACATAGCCAAGGCCTAGGAATGTCTACTAATTAAAGTCTCGGAGAGGTGGGACAGTTTAATAATACAATTGAACCATGGGTCGTCTACGAGGAGAGACTCCAGCAACGACATTGCGGCTGCAAAACAAGTTGCGGTACTGTTGACAGTGGTTGGACAACGGTCCTATCAATTGCTGCGAGACCTGGCACAACCAAGGAAGCCAAGCGAACTGACATACGCTGAAATTAACGGGTAGTTTAAACAACATTTTTCTCCTAAACCGCTTGTTACTGCGGAGTGCTTTAAGTTTTACAAGTGTTGTCAACAACCGGGTGAGTCAGTGCTTGATTTTAATGCAAGTTTGCGTAGGCTAGCAGAGCATTGTGAATTTGGTGGTTGTTAAATGCGTGACAAATTTATGCTCATGCATGGGTTTTGCAAAATGCGTGTTTCAAACAAAAAATGGCTTTGAAATGCTTGACCATCCTACATAATGTGAGACGGTTGGTAACTATTGTCCCTCTCTCTCACTCTCTCTCCCTTCTGAAACTACTATCAGGAACACCCACTCGGAATACCCAAACTCTTCCCAGAGATGCCTATCAGCCACATACCTAATTGCAACATATAACAAGAATGCAGCTCATAAACATCTATGATATAGAAGCATACGATACGTGGCTCAAACAGCACTCCGCCCACCCCTGCGCCGTTCCAACAGAAAAATCTGTTATCCATGTAAAAAAGTAAAAAAAAATAAAAAAAGAAAAGCAAACAACAACAATTAATCGCAATGAATCCAAGTAGCGACGAGAGGCTGATGCTGATTTGTATATACGTTTGGATGTGTTTGCAATTCTGTGTATATACACACGCATTTAAATTATCATATATTGATCTGATGTGAGGTGGGGGTTGTTGACTGTAATAAATTACCATTTCTATCCTTAGTGTAATATATTTAATACTTAGAACATTCTAGAATTGCATATATTTGACCAAACAAACAAGTGTAAACCACATTGATAATTATAGAAACACATGACACCATGTAGAATCCAAGAGTAATATTTGCAACTTTCTGGAATCTTGGGTACTGTAAAAGCAATTGCTTATTGGTTAATTATGATGTAATGTGACCAATGAGGAAGTTAGGCAATATAGAATGCTCTTGAATGCTCTGGAGTTGTGTATGTTAAATTTACCATGGGTAAATCAAGCTAAACTTTCAATTTAACATTGATAATTATTACATCCCAATATCATTTTTCAAAGGTAGCAATTTATTCAACTTATTTGTGAAAAATGTAAAGTTTAATTAATTCAAGATATTATTTAGTTTAATAACTTATTTTCTCTAAAATTATTGTAATTATATAGGGCCTACTGTAGGTTATGACGATGGTCAGTTTATGTACTGTACAATTGCTTGGACATAAAATATTTACAAATAATCATCATTAGAGAGGCTGCTATAATACTAAATTTAAGAAAAGTCAATTATCATTTAAAAAAATCTAATTTTCTCATTATTATTTATCATTCAGTGTCCATCCGTAACATTTTCTTTTCATTAATAACTCAATAAATCTCACTAATAGACAAGTAAAATAACTTAATTTAGCAATGAAAAATTCTTGTTAGCTCTCGCTTCCCCATATAGAAATTTCTGCTAAGTTGTAAAAATTAGAAACAGCGAATTCTATCTTGTCCGTCCGTAACGCTCACATTTTCGCTGTTCTATTTTTAGTAACAATATCAATCCGCACAAATTTTTTTTTGTAAGATAGAATGTATACTATTCTTGCATATAAAACATATAATGAACCAGCTAAGAGTGGCATAAAATGTTTTTGGAAAATTAAAATTGAAAGTTTATACAAAACAATAATAGTTTAAACCTCCTCTTTCAAAAAGCACACCTTTGTACTTCTTAAGTATACAAAGAGTAGTCACTGTTCTTTTCTTCTGAATTTTCTTATAATTGTTATTATCAATTTTAAACTTGTGTAGCTAATGGGAATTATTATTAGGAGAGTAATTTCAATTATTACATTTATAATGTAAATGAATACAACGTTTTTACTTTTCATTTTCTATTGAATTAGTTACTAATTTCGCACGAATTAAACAGTACAGTATTTAAAAAAAATATGATATGTTTGGTTTATACAATGTTGAATATTTATTTTTTTAAAATATTTAGCAACTAAAAGTTTTCTTGATAGTAACCATATTGCCCAAGGGTAGGGTAAATATTCATGCATAGTACCTGTTACTATTACAGATGTTGATTGCTCAGGCTACAATAGCTTTAATTTAATGAAGTTTCTAAGTCACTTAAGCTATGGTGATCAAGAGCTTGACCAATTGGCACATTCATTAAAATGAGACTCCACCAAGCTTAGCTGTGTTGGAGATTTATAAGATGATGTTTACTAATATATTAACCACTGACTTGAGGCAATAACAATTAAGTGAGATGCTTAAGGCAGAAAATCCTAATGCTAGCACTAAACAGGGCTCGTTTTCCTGATCATTTGCACAAATTCCAGTCTTTGGGCGAGGTCCTTACTTAAAGCATGGACCTATTAATATATTAATAGGTCCGTGCTTATATGGTCCCATACTGTGGAACTATATTACGTTATGTTACTATGTTATGTATTATAAAGTCAGATGTTGTCTTAGACCTTAGTTTTTTATTACATAATATTATATAACAAAAAATATTGGAAAATGTTTTCCTTGGAATTTTGTGACGTATTTGATGTAATAAACATGAAAGAATTGAACATGATAGCAATAATAAAATATATCATTGAAAAAATTATTCTGGATCCAATGCCTACGTTTTTCTTAATATTTTTAATAAATATTATTTGGATCATCAGAAAAGCACAAAAAAAAACAATAAAATAAATGTGATTATAATTTAAATGATATTAATGATCACTCTTTATATTAGTTGTTGCGTTGTTTGTTACTATATTATTCTCTTAGATTATAATTTATTTAACTTAAATTTTTACGCTGCATTTTTAAATGTTAGGGGTTTAAATAAGCTAATAAACAAAGTAATTATTCAAATGACAACAGACCGAAGAGTAGATTTTTTTTTTTTCCTCCCACAATAAGATAAATCAATTTAAGTTTATATGGTATGGTGATTTTTTTTTATAT